AGTACAGAATATTAATAGCTTGTTATGGTGGAGCAAAGGCCAGTAGATTACCCCTTCCTGAGTCTGCTGCTGGAGAAGTCAGAGCCACCCAGACCTGTTTATCAGTAAGAACAGACACACTGTCTCTCTGCTCAGTGCCTCCTACTCCTTTCTTGTCAATAAGGATAATCCTGGGGGGCTGGCTTTGTAGATTTGACTATGAGAACAAAGGTTTGGCTGAGTGACTGCCCTCACAGCAGGGATCCACAGTATGGGAAATGTATCCAGTTGCCAGCACAGGAAAAGTCAGGTTTAAAGAGTGCTTTATACACTGCCATTATGGAAGGGATCCAGAAGACAAGTGTTTCCAAAGCTTTGCAAACCAGGTTTCCCACCAGATCATACTCCTGCGGCTCTGTCCATGGATCTGTTGACTGTACTTTCACTGTGTAATACTTGTAGCTCACAGCACTTATGCACACACACACACACACACACACACACACACACCTGCACCTACCCACGTGTGCAAGTGCTTATGCAAGATACCTGCATCCACACACATGTGCATATGCACACAGCGTGTGCACACACTTGCGCACACACATGTGCAGACTGTGTGCTGATAGCTCTAGCCTCTATGCCATGTTCTGAGGTGGGTCTCTTAGGCACTAACTGGATTGTGATGCTTCAATCAGGATGAAATCCATCAATGGGTCTGTGACTTGATGGCGGCATGGGAGAGGTGAGGAAGCTAGGAAGTAACACCTGGAGCAAAAGTCCAGAGGCTTGAAACCAATTCCTTAGTCCCAGCCCTCTCCCTTTGCCCCCTCCCTCTATCATTTCCCTATACCACCCCTCCTCCTATTTACACCTTCCCTCTTCCTCCCCCTTACCCATCGCCTCTCTTTCTCCCTACCTCTCCCCCCTCTCTCAGGCTGGCTTGAGGGGAGCACCTTCCCTCCCTCCCCCAGGTCCCTCTGCCGTGACTGACTCCTCTGCCTTCTACCAGAGCAGCCACAGATAAAAACCTCTGAGACCAGGAGCCCAGACAAACCCTTCCCCCTTTACACGGCTCCTCTCTGCTGTCTCTCAGCAATAGGAGTGATTCACACACACACACAAACACACAAACACATCGCTCCCATGTTCACACACATCACCCCCACACACATACACGCATCACCCCCACACAAAAAACACAAAACATACACACACATTACACACACACACACACACACACACACACACACACAGCCTCAGCGTCACAAGGAGGGTATAACATAAGGCATCTGAGAGGCTCATAGGCACACCACCGTTCCAGCAGCAGAGATGAAACATGTCTGACCTTCCTGCCAGGACAAGGGGAGCTTGTTTCTCCCTCACTCATGCATACACCATGATATATTGATTATATATCTCAAGAAAGTAACATGGTCCTTTGAGAGAGAGAGACAGTGGGGAGCTCAAAAGGAGAGGATTCCGGAAACTCTGGCTCAGAACATTAGCTCTTTCTGCAGCCAACCTGCCTGATCTTGGCCTCTCCTGAGAGGGGACAATGGGGAAGCACTAGCTAAAGTCATTCTTGGGCTTCTGCCTGCACGGGCCAACCCAAGGATGGAACAGACTTCAGGTGGAGAATGTATGGTTGTGGGGACAGAAAAACCCATCCACATTCATTCTTGGTGACAGAATAGAGGGGACAGTCATGGGAGCCGTGGTTCTGGTAAGTGTGACACCCAAGATCCGACTCTAATCTTCACCTCCCACCAAATTCTCCTTAGCCTGAAGCAGGGTCTCCTCATGGCCCCAGAATGGCTGCCAACAGCTCAGAAAGGTTGTTTTGCATTTTCCTTTGTAGACAGTGAGGAAAGGGACCATCTCTGCCAGCGATTTGTTAAGAAATATGAGTCACACCCTCTAGACACCTGTAGGAATGTCCACTTGCATCTCATTTGCTCAGACTGGCTCACTGACCACCTGAGGTCAGCCACTGACTTTAGGGGCACATTGGCACCATTTGTCACCAGCCGTTCAGGATCATCCCTGCTGCTGGTACAGTTGGGAGCCATAAGATACACAATTCTGCAGTGGGGGGAAAAGGGTGAGGGGGCCGGAGGGATGGCTCAGCACCCACATACCAGTCCACAGCACCAGTTCCTCCAGGGTGCTGTTCCAGGGTGCCCTCTTCTGGCCTCTGAGGACACTTCACAGGTGTGGAACACACACATAAGCAGGCCAAAGATCCATACACATAAAGTAAATATTAAAAAAAAAGATGTCAAGGAAACACTGGGCATGTGAGAAAAGAACAGATAGCTGTTAGATAACAGTTTGAGAATGTTCTCGTCTTCACACGCTGGCCGGGGCCAGCTCACTGTCTGTCCCCTAGGGTCAGGGGTGATGGGTTTACCACCAATACTCAGCCAAAGTTTGAAGCACTCTGGAGCACTGAAATGAGTAAATTACATCACCCAGGATCTGCTTGATTGCTAATCATGGCTAGATCTAAACTTTGTGACTCCGTTATTTCATACCCGGTTGAGCTTGTTCAAGACGGCTCCACACACCTTTTATATCTGATACAGATACTCTTTAATCAGCAATGCAGTTACACTCAAACACCCCATTGTAAGATGGCATTTTATAGAACAAGTCCATCTGGTAGACAGGGAGAAGGGTTGGGAAATTCCACCTTCTGGGCACATCGTAGTCACCAACTCTCAACAACTGGGAATGACAGCCATAAGTCTGCATAGAAATGGGTCCAGCTGCAGCAAGACAAGGGCAGAGGAGTGCAGGGGCCCTCTCCCTCGTGGCTGAACAGTTTCTGTTAATAGATTCCATTGCCTTCAGTCCAGTACCCACGGTAGCCCCATTCCAATAGTCACACAGATGTCCCCGGTCAAATAAAATGGATCACAAAATGTTCTGTGTCTGTGTGTCTATCTCTGTTCCCCCTTCTCTGTCTGTCTGTCTATTATCTATCTATTATCTATCTATCTATCTATCTATCTATCTATCTATCTATCTATCTATCTATCT